TCTATTTGTTTGTGTGTGTGTGTGTGTTTCTATATCCATAGATAGATCGGATTAGATAGATAGATCGGTAGATAGATATATATATATATAGATAGATAGATAGATAGATAGATAGAAAGATAGATCATGGTACACTGGTAGTTCGGTATATAGATCGATAGATGGGATTGCACCGTGTCGCAATGGCAAGGAAGTACGGCGAGATGTTTGAGGGAATGCCAGGGGCTGTGATCACCTGCCTCCTGGACAGACGAGAGCCCCGACGTCACACGATCAGTGGCTCTGCTCGCGACTATAGCTGGAGGGCTGTTGTTTTGCAGATTTTCTTTGACTTGTGAAATCAACTCTGGCCTGAGTTCGCGCAGTCGACTGAGGCTACTGCCTCAATGGCAAGAACCTCGGCATAGCCTTTCGACTGCCCCCTTGGCTGGGAGAAGTGCCTCTGTACCCGGCCGTGTGCGGGCGAGAGGACTGGCAGGCGACCTGTCGGTTCCGTGACCTGCGCTTCCCGCACGGGGGATATCGAGACTTGGACGAGGCTTGCAGCCAGCACGTCGTGACCGACGACAATTCCGTCGACGCGGCCAGCGCTGCTGCTGCGGTCTTTGCAGCGGCCCCCTTTGTGGAAGAGAGGGAGCTGCGCCAGCTGGATGTGCCGAATGAGAATCTCATTGAACTGCGAAGTGAGGGAGAGGTGCCGATTGATGGCCAGGAGCTGAAGTCTTGGCTCGTACAGGCAAGGGGGGTTTCGTTGTCTGGCTTCGCTGTAAATGCTTGAGTGCTTGAGGTTGTATAACAAGGGCGGGTTTGTGCAGATTAGTCTAGGGTGCCCCTAGTGTCGTTTAGTCTGTAAATCGATAAGAAGTAAGAAACGATAAGGTTTGAATGTATGTTCCATAAGTACTCTACTTGTTTTGGTATTTTAGCATGATTAGTACGACGAGTACTGCTATTACTACGAGTGCTACCAGTGCTACTTGTAGTAGTAGTGCTGATTAGTGTGACTGGTTCTGGCTGGGCACTTCTAGTAACACTAGTCCAGAGAGTACCATAATCCGACTCCCACTGCTACTGCTACGGCAACTTGTGCCAACCTGTGGCGATGCTGGACAAACCCAGAGAGCGACTTCTCCCTCAGTCATACTATGAAGCCCTCTACAATTTTTGATGCATATTTCTTAATGAAGGAGTATCGGGCTTTGGGACAGATGTGAAAGCAGGAATATGGCATCAGCAGTGCAGACTTCCATGCGGAATCTGGGTTCTTGTTAAGGAGCTTATTTTAAGTTACCCAGAAAAAGGATCTATAGAATCTGTGGTAAATAGTATAGTTTTCCGTTTTTGGTTACTTAAGTTTAAGCTATCATTAGTGTTAGTAATATGGTTATATTATTAATTATTATTATTATTATGATGATGATGATTATTATTATGCAAAATACAATTAATGTTAAAAATATTATTCATATTAATATTATGATTATCATTATCATTATTATTATGGTAACTTAAATTAAGTCCCTTAGCAAGAACCGAGGAATACTCGGACAACCAGTGCATGGCCGTCCTGGCCTTCCCCAGCCATCGGGTCTCCCGCAGCATGGCGAATGCACCGCCGCCGAAGATGCTGGTCCGGCTGAAGCAGCTGGCCTTAGCAAAGTAACGGTTTTAGGGTTTAGGATTTGAGGGTTTAGGGTTTAGGGTTTAGGGTTTAGCAAAGTAACATAGAAGCATAAATAATTGCGAATAGTATTCTTTAGGTCAGGGTTCCTTATTATGCTTATACTCTAAAGGAGCCCAAAACCCCATTCGAATTGTTGAGGCCCCTACATTAGAGTCATAACCTTCAGGGCGTCTCTCTCTTTTTTTTTTTATAAAACCTCGCCGTCTTTTCAAACCTCGCGTCTTTTTCTAACCTCCTCATCTGAATTTTAACCTCGCCAGTTTTCCTGTCTTCTTTCTGACCTTGCCCCATCTGATTTGTGACCTCGTACATCCTTGCTTTCCTGGCTGCGGCTTATCTCCCCAGATAGAGAAAAAATCTTGAAATCAAACTCGCAGATCTGATTTCAAACCTGATCTGCCTTAATTTCCCACCTCCTCTGTCTTGTCTATACCCTCGCCAATCCTGTCTCCGAGATCGCCGTCGAAATCTTGGCCCCGCTGGCCGGCCCAGTCAGGTTTAAGAGTTCAATCAAGGGCCTGAGGGGTTTAGGGTATTATAGGGGTTTGGGATTTAGGGTTTAGGTTTTAGGGGTTTTGGGATTTTGGGTTTGGGGGTTTAAGAGTTCAATCAAGGGCCTAAGGGCTCCTTCACGGGCTCTCCTTCGCGAGCTCCTGGCTGCTCTTCGCGGGCTCCCCGCCCTGCGCGGGCTCCTTGCCCTTGAGCCCGGCTTTGTCCCCACACTAAACCCTAAACCCTAAACCCTAAACCCTATAACCCTAAACCGTCTAGGCCTGTAGCTTTTTATTTCCATCCCCAGCTTTTAATCCACCCCC